CAAAGTCTGAGATGTTATATCATATATTACGAATTAATAATATATAAATAAAATCTATTAAATTTTTTCTAAATAATTATAAAATATATATTGAAATATAAAATTTTAAATTAAATCAAAATTCTATCTAATACAATTGCTACAAAATGTAGTCATCCATAAACAATAATTATTAATCAATAGTAATAAATAAAACCAATACAATATACAATCTTTCTCCTAAACACACACATACACAAAAAATTCAAAAAACATTGGATAAACAATATCTAATTTAATTAATCAAAAATATTATTAATATAAAATATATTCTCACACTTAGAAATAAAATCAATCGAATAAAAATTTCAATGATAAAAATTGCAATAATTGCAAAAAAAAAAAAAAAAAAAAAAAGAGACAAAAATAAGGTTCTTCCTAATCTATCATATTGAGTTAACTGCGAACGATATATAAACAATGAAATAATAAAAAGAGTGATAGAACGAGAGAGAAATCGGAGAAGACGGGTAAGGAGGGAGGGAGGGTCGTCTGTGTAATTCGTAAAGTGTTGTAATAATTGAGCACACGGCAAAAGGTGTGTGGCAACGAGAGTCGCGCAAGTTTCACAAATGGGTCAGCGAGCACAGCAGTAAGAGTAGTAAAGTAAGAAAGAAGAAGTATACAACACACAAATATACAACACACGAGTATATATAACACACAAGTATACAATACAAACTTACGACTAAAGCCCGCCCGCTTCGAATAACGTTTGGTAATATATTTATCGTCGCTTACGAAAAAAAAAAACAACTTCACTTTTACCCCCTTTTGCTTCCAGCTCCCTTCCCCCCTTTTTTTTTATTCTTCGTCACTCTATTTTTCTCTTTTTTCTTCCCTTGCAATGTGTGATTTCTTATAATTATATTTTTAGACGATCGTATAAAATTTTTTACCCCCCCCCCTCCCAAAAAAAAACCATTTTTTACCAATATATAAATATATTATTATAGATTGATCGATAAATTCTTGCAGGTTTTTTTTCTAATTTTTTTTTTTTTTATATATTATTTGTAGAATATGAGTATTTATTGGACGGACCTAAAATTGTTGTGTGTGGATAAGATTATATTTTTTTTCTTTGGTTAATAAATTTATAACGAAGGAATGATTTTTTCTTTTATACTGTATATGTTAATCAGAAAATCAAAGGCCAGTTCATTTACGTAACATGTATTCAAACTAAAAAGCTAAGTTTTTCTTTATAATGGTAAATATATGTTTCGAATTGAAAGTTATTTTTCTTTTCTTTTCTTTTTTTTTTCTTTTTTTTTCTTTTTCATATATAAATTACAATGAAATATTTATTTATAAATGGTCAAAGAATTTATCTGTTCAACTTCCTTATCTATGACAAATGTTTAAAGTATCTTTAAAACGTGGAGCGTATGTTTAACGTACACAAGGCTGTCGTGAACGTGATTTTCGTGAAAATGGTTGGTTGGTTGGTTGGTTGGTTGATTGATTGGGGGGAAGGGGGAAAAAAAATAAAGATATCTCTCTCAATTATACCAACCACTGTCGACTTTATCGATCTTCAAGAGATTACGTAAAGACCGATAAAAAAAAAACATGAAACCGGAGAAAAAACGGGCCTACGTGCGATTCATATTCAAAGGCTTTCCATCAACCTTTTTACATATGTATATGTATATATATATATACATATATATATATATATGATATGTATAAGTGTCTATATATGTATGGGCTTGAACTGGCGCGCACATAGAAACTTCGAGTTTGCCCTTCGTTTTAACGAGTTCTAGATTTTAACTCAAAGTCGAGAAAGCGTTCCTTCATATATATATAAGTATGTGTGTGTGTGTGTGTGTATGATGAAAATAGTATTAAAAAATAAATTAGAACACAAGGAATAATATTCTTTTTTTTTTTATAAATATTATTCGGAATAAAAAGAGATACTATATTTATTCTTCAATAAATAAGATTGAAACGACTGTGTGCTTTATATTATTTTTGTAAAAAAAATTGGAATTAAAAAATACAATTGTCCACAATTTTTATTTTATTTTATTTTTTTTGTTTTTTTGTAACTATGAAAATGTAGGACACAAAAATTCCTAAAAGAAAAAGAAAAAAAAGGAAAAAGTCGAATCAAATAAATAAATAAAAATGAATGTGCAATGTTCGGGGTATTGGTAAAACAAAAATGACGACAATTTGTATACCGATCACGTTTAACCAACCATTCGCGTACGAGCACCCGAATTAGGTGGGTTATGTTGTTCTACATTCACAAATTTAAATTTGATATCACGTAGTAGAGGACTGTAGTTGATATTATCTGATAACTGTTACTATCATTTCATCGAATTAAAAACACAAATTAATTTGCAATGATAACAAAAATAAGAATACGAGAAGAAAAGAAGGGTTGTTGGTGGTGATAAGAATAAACAAACCAGATGCATTTTATGACACTTGCATCTCTCATAAGAAGAAAAGAAAAAATATAGGATGACCTACAGTCAAACGAATCCATAAAAAAAAAAGAAAAAAACGAAAAAAGAGAAATAAAATGAAAGCAAATTTATACAAGGAACGAACGTTTTAGTTTCTGCAAGTCAAAGCGATTGTATTTAAATTTCTCGAGAAATTATCGAGGCTAGAAAGGTTTAGTTATTGAGTGGGTGGTCCTAGAAAACGAAGAAAAAGAGGAGGAGAAGAGAAAAAGGTGAAAGGGAGGGGGAAGGTTTGAATGGATTTAGAGAAAAAGGGGGCTGTGGTTCGAAATCTCATTTGTAATACAGAATTTCCATTCCCCGTTCCATTATGTTCTCTCAACTTGAAAGATAATTTAGCATAATCCTTAATTAATCGACAAATTATGATTGAACGAAAAAAAAAAAAAAAAAAGAAAGAAAGAAAAAATATAGCGAAACCAACGATCAAATGACTTAACGAAACTTTTATAATCGTTTAGTGATTATGCTGCAAATGATCAATTCGTAATATGTAATATTCATTTCTTTATAGAAGAAAAGGCGTATGCGAGAGAGTATGCATTTACGATACATCAGCTTTAATGTATCCTAATAATACACATCGATCGAGTGTCGTATTATCGTTAAAATATGAACAACATGGGTTTTCATTTTTTCTTTTTATTTTTTTATATTTTTCGAAAGTTCCAAAAGGAAATTTGTAACTGATACGTTTTCAAGGATCCAATTTGGGCTCGTTAGATGTTAACTTTACGAGAGGGATATTATTCATCGAAATATAAGAAGATATCTTTCTTTTTCTTTCTACGTGTTAAGGAAATTGTTATAATATGCAACGAGAGAATCGCATAAATGTTTATTCAAAAATCAAAAATGAAAGGGAGTAAGTAAAGAGGAAAACAAAAAAAAAGTTCAAAAGAAGAACACAGAAAGGAGAAAATAAAGGGAGTGGGGTGGGGTGGGGTGGTAGAAGAAAAACGCATTTACCCGTGGAACGTTAATTAAATTAGAAGGACCACTAGAGTTTCTCTACGGGGTGTCGTGCAATTAACGCTCTGTTCAAGGATCATAAAAGTGTGAGTGAGAAAGAGAAAGAGAAAGAGAAGAAAATAGAAGAACGTAGTGGTAGGTAGATAGGTAGGTAGGTAGGTAGGTGGTAGGCCAACTTTAATTAACCAAACAGTGTGGCAGGGAAACACGATGAATATTTTATTTTCTTATGGCTATATGTGGGACATTGTGTCAGAGAGTTACGCGTAATAGTAGTTAATAACTCAACTTCTAAGCCGCCTACTCACGACGTCTGCCTTCTTTTATCGATTACCTTTTCTTAACTAGGAACACGTGAGAAAGAGAAAGAGAGAGAGAGAGCCGGAGAGAGGGAAGAAAGTTAAAAATATTAAATCTTTGAAAAAAGAAATCACACGATTGGGTGATTAATCTCTACGATGCAGTTAATAATTCGTCAATATGATGATCAGTGGATGATCGTTTCAAATTTATTGATTTTAAAGTGGAAACAATGTATTGTAATTCCATCGAAATATCATTTCCATCGATTAATTTTAATTACTATCCAACAACAATTCAATAAAAAAAAAAAAAAAACATACCGCGCGACGATTCAAACAAATAATATTTCTCTTCTCGCAAATAAATAATGAAAAAAAAAAAAACAAAAGGGAAAACAATTTAAAATAGCGAAAGTAAGCACATCCCACGCGTTAATTAAAAACTGTAATGAAGCAAGAGAGGGAAAAACGAATAAAAAATAAAGAAAACTAATGCAAGAAAGAAGGAAATGATCGAGTGAGAAAAGAAGAAGAAGAAGAAGAAGAAAAAGAAAAAGAACTGAATGGGGAAATGGGTAGTTGTTGCTGAGCTGGTGCGTTCCCTGTGGTGTATAATGTCGTTGGCATCATTTTGCTGTTCTTTTTCTCTCTCTCTCTCTCTTTCCTTTTCTATTCCTCTCTAATTCTAATTTCTATGATGACGACACGATTTATAAGAACGTGCTCTAGAGACTTGATTCTAAAACCCAAATAATCACAGCCCCTTTTTACTTCTACTTTGCTATTTTCACGCGTATTTTAAATGTAAACGATTCAAACTCACCCACGTTTATTTCGATTAACAAATCTTAAACATTTCTTACTTTAATTCGATCTTTTTTTTTTTATTTAAATATTATTTCGAGTTTTTTTTTGTTTTGTTTCTGATTAATTTTGTTTATTAATTTCGTATGATTTTGTATCCACGATTATGAACGATTCAAGCATGATGATAATGATAACGATGACACACTTGCAATTAGTGTTTCCTTTTTCTTTCTTTCTTTTATATATATATATATTTGTTCTTCTTCTAACTAAAGGAAAGTAATATATCGAACGATAATAAATCGGATACATAAAAAAAAAATATATTGAAAGCGTGCTCCAGAAATGAATCACACGGGATTGATTGATGATTAGGATTGAAAAAACGTACGCTCGTTTAGCTCTCTGAACGGTTAGCTGTCTGTACCTCGTGTCTTCATTTTTGCTCGCTACGAAACGGTCCAGTCTGAAAGAAAAAAATAGAAGAGGAGTCATTCTCCACGTCTTTTTCTTGACACAAAAGCCTACAATAGAAATTTTCTTGGTTTTCTTTTTTTTTTTTTTTTTCTTGGTTTCGTTTTTTCTTCTTCTTTTTTATTTTTCTACGTAAAATAATTCAAAAAAAAAAACAGGAAGAAAAATGTCATCTAACCGAGCTATGTATCTATCTAATCAAACTAATCTAAACTATCTAATTAAGTCCTAAACTAGAATAAAAAAAAAAAAAAAAAAAAAGGTTCATCCAATATTCTCATTCTATTCTCTCGATCGTGCAAATTGTTTTGTAATACCCAATTAAAACAAACAAATATAAAAAAAAAAGAAAGAGAAAAGAAAACAGAATAAAATATAGGAAGAAAATTATAATAGAAACAAAAAAAAAGAAAAAAAAAAAAAAAGTAATAAAAATAATCTTAATTCGTAAGCATGAATATATAAAATACGATTCCACGAAGGTTTGGATAGAATCGATGATGTCATAACTAAGGGTAGAGAGATAAGGAACACATTTTCTACGAGGCTTACAGTAAGCGATTAAAGTAACAGAACGGGATGTTTAAAGTGTGTCATCGAAACTAAAATGACTTTGAATGAGTGTACGACAAAACGTTTTAAGAGTTCAACTAAATAAAATAACGCGAGTTGGTATTACTTATAATTAGTTCTATTTCTTCTGTAAAATATGAACTATTATGATGATAATAATAATAATAATAATAATAATAGCAACAATATTCGCATAAAATAAGATAGAATTTTATTCACGATTGTTATTGCAAAAAAAAAATATATATATAAAGATTTCGAAAGATGGAGACAGAAATAAAGAAAAAAAAAAACGAGAGAAAAAGAGAAAGATAAAATGAGAGAGAATGAGAGAGAATGAGAGAGAGTAAGAGATAGATGAACGCATCTAAGAACAAAGGTTATTCTCGTTTGGAATTTAAAAAGCAAACGGCCAAGCCCTACGAAATTAAAGTAGGCCAGTTATCGTCTAAGTACTTACTTCCTTTAAGGACCACACCATGAACAAATATAGAAAGTAGTTAAAATACAAAAAGAAAGAAAGAAAGAAAGAGAAGAGAAGAGATGAAAAGAGAACTTGAATAAATTCGAGAGTATAATGATTTATTATTTTTTTTTTTTGAAAATTATGTGTTAAAGAAAATTTGTATAACGATTGATTAAATGTTATTAACAATATATTGGAATATATATATGTATAAAATATCGTATGGGAATAATATAAAGTTAGAATAGTTATAATATT